ACCATACACCTTGGAAACTAAAGGCTAAGCCCTCAACCCTGGCCTCTGCCCCAGCAAGTGAAGCAAAAGGCGGTGGTGGCGTCACATCCTTCCAGCGTGTGGGCTTAGGGAGGGTTCCTAGTTCTTTGCTGATTTTGAATTTAGGTGGCAGGGTCTAAGGCTTTGTAGTATTCATGGTTTGCGGCCACCGATGTAGGAGGGTAGAGCTATGGTCCCGGGTTGCACTCTATCTTGTGTGTCAAAGCCCGCATGAAGTTCACCTTGCAAAAGGGTCCACGTGCCTATACTTGGGCTTTCGAGGGCCCATATACCCGGATATCCAAAACGTACACCTGAACCCTGCGCCCATACTCCTCCCTTGCTGGTCTTTCTCCGATGCTCAACAGCACAACGTCTGCCAGCTTCCTGGATCACATGCAGGTCGCGAGCAAACCCTTAGCCCTAAACCCTAAACCCTAAACCCTAAACAGGAGGGACTCCTCGAATTGCTTGTGTATAGCGCGTGCGGGCTGTGTAGCGGCTCACCATGCGGTGTTTGCGCTCCAGCCTCCAGCATCCAACACGCCGGCAAGTGCACGGGATACTTAAGACCCTAACCCTAAAGCCTAAACTCAAGACCCTAACCCTAAAGCCTAAACCCTGAAACCCTAACCCTAAACCCTAAACCCTAAAGCCCTAAACCCTATAAATCCTAAGCCACGAGGGAGGCCAGGATCCAAGCATTCCACCGAAAACTCCTTCTCGGGCGATCCTGCTTTGGCTTTTCTCAGGGACCACCCCATCATGGTTTAGGGTTTAGGGTTTAGGGTTTAGGGTTTAGGGTTTAGGGTTTAGGGTTTAGGGTTATGGCCCAGCCCTGCCCGATCCACTGATCCTTGACTGAGAATGGATCGCGAATCTGCAGCAGCCAATGGTGCTTTTTGATCATGTTGTCACTTCGTTGTACGAAGCAACAATCCGAGGATCCCCTATATACCACCTGCTTAACGTTCCACCTGAAGTCAGTGGGTTGATAGGGGAAAGTATACCGGGGGAAAACCTAGCCCCTAAACCCTGAACCCTAAACCCTAAACCCTAAACCCTTCGAAGCCAAATTGGGCAGGCGCATGATCGCGCGTCAAATCCGGAGAGGGGGACACTCGGACCCTGAACTTCCGAACTCGAAGCCCCATATCCCGACGCCTTACTTACCGCGCGGGTTTAGGGTCGTAGGGTTTCTAGGGTTTAGGGTTTAGGGCTTAGGGTTTAGGGGAACCGGACCCTAACCATGAACGTTTAGGACCTGCGAGAAGGGCTGGCTGAGCCAAATGTCCCGAGTCACAAGTAAAAGCACGGAAGGGCTTAAGGTTCATGGAATATGAGCTGTAGAAGAAGATAGCACGAGTCCTTTCAAACCCTACACTCTAGAAGCTACCCCAAAAATCACAGTCCCCGAAAAAGGGAAACGGAAAGCTTGAGAAGCCCTGAAAAAGCAGGAAGAAAACTGATCCCAAACGTGCTTCACGGAAACTTTAGGGTTTGGGGAAAAGGTTCAGGGTTTGGGGCTTAGGGCTTAGGGCTTAGGGGCTTAGGGGCTTGGGGGCTTAGGGCTTAGGGCTTAGGGCATAGGGCTTAGGGCTTAGGGTTTGGGGCTTCGGGCTTAGGGCTTAGGGTTTCGGGGTTTAAGGGGGCGAAGCACGCGGGGTCCAGCGGAGGTGCGTTCAGCGGTGGCGGCGTCAGCTCTACGGAGGGCGGGGCACCTGCGGCTCGAGGCAGGAACTTACCCTGCCTACCCCTAAACCCTAAACCCCCTAAACCCCCTAAACCCCCTAAACCCCCTAAACCCCCTAAACCCCCTAAACCCCCTAAACCCCCTAAACCCTGGTTAGGCATGTTTAGTTTGGGTTTTGGGCTTAGGGATGCTCAGGGGTGAGGGTTTTCAGGGTTTAGGGATGTTGAGGCTTTTATAACGGGTTTTCTACTTGAGGTGTTACGGTTTTGAGGGTTTTTAGAGGTTCAGGGTTTAGGGTTTAGGGTTCCTGGCTTCAAGGCTCAGGGCTTAGAAGCCCTGAGCCCCTGAACCCCAGTGAACACTTGAAACCACTCCTATAATGTTTAGGGTTTAGAGTTTACGGTTTCTTTCGGGTTTAGGGTTTAGGGTTTAGGGTTTAGGGTTTAGGGTTTAGGGTTTAGGGTTTATTTAGGGTTCAGGTTGCCAGCCCCGTCCTGCAAAAGACGAACCCACGGTTTCCCGAATGACGTCAAGGGTTGAACCAACTAAGGCGTTGTCCTGAGTGTTTATAATGGGTTTGTGGTTTAACCCTAAACCCTAAACCCTAAACCCCAAACCCTAAACCCTAAACCCTAAACCCTAAACCCTAAACCCCAAACCCTACGGCTTACCTCCGCTGTGGGCACCTCCCCGAGAAGCCCTTCGCTCGTTGGAGGCGCCATGTCCGTTCTCCTGGCCAGATGGGGAGGGGTGGGGAGGGCTAAGAGTGCAGGGTTCCCTGAACCCTAAACCCTAAACCCTAAACCCTAAAGCTCCCTGTAGGGTTCATGGTGTTTAGGGTTTTGGGCTGACTTAGATGGGTATCTTCAGGTGACAGTGCATGGGCATCAGTTGTGGCTCCTTCATGAAACTATAGCCTTGTTCAGAAAATTGCAATACGAACGACGCTCTGCTCGACATCTCCTGCCTAGTTAGTAGGGGTGTCGAGGCAACTTATTCAATCCTAAACCCTAAACCCTAAACCCTAAACCCTGAACCCTGAACCCTAAACCCTAAGCCCTAAGCCCTAAACCCTAAACCCTAAACCCTAAACCCTAAACCCTAAACCCTAAACCCTAAGCCCGAAAACCCCAAGCACGATTTAATGGACCCTCGGGAACGACATCTAGCGCCGTTACGTATAAAGTCAGGGATGATGGCATAGGGTTTACAGGTTTTTCGGGTTTCTTACTGTTGCTCAAGGGGTTAGGGTTTAGGGTTCAGGGTTTAGGGTTTAGGGTTTAGGGTATGCAGCCCTTTACGTGAGGTTATTGTAACAGCCTGCGCACCACATTTTGTTCGGTGTGGGGGGGGGGGGGGGGTATGACTATATGCTAATGCAATCAGTACGCATACTGTTTGGTCTGGATGTTCAATTTGAGTTTGCTGTTGTATAGGGTTCCAAGTATGAGCATTTGAATTGGGCCACTTGTTATAATGTACTATCAAGATGCGGAGGTTTAGAACAACGCCCATATAACCATTCTGTACACTTTCTGGATAATATATAATGATGGCATGTACTTCGGATCCCTATAAACAAGGGTAAGGGTCCTTTGCACCCATGGTTCCACCCTTAGATTTCGGAAGTTTCCGTGCGTCTGACTACATAACCCAGGATGTAGCGGCTGATGACTGATTGATGGGGCTTCTTATAAGGATGTCAGGGTGCATGTTTGTCAGCTCTTGGCAAACTTCGAAACCTCCCCTAAACCCCCCCCCCCCAAAAAAAAAATAAATAATAAGTTCTAAAGACCTGAACCTTCTTATGCCTGTAAGCTCGCAAGCTCCTGGACCCGTAACCCCGCTGCCAGATATGCCTCAACTCAACTGTCAGTCTGGGGTTTAGGCCTCTGAAGCATAGGCATAGGGCTTACAGCCCATGCAACAAGAGGTGAAACTCCATCCAAACCCCCCCTCCCCCCCCTCCCCCCCTCCCCCCCCCCCCCCCCCCCCTCCCCCTCTCCCCCCCCCTCCCCCTCCCCCCCCTCCCCCCCCCCCCCCCTCCTTCCCTCCCCCCCTCCCCCCTCCCCCCTCCCCCCTCCCCCCCTCCCACCCCTCCCCCCCTCCCCCCCTCGCCCCCCCCTCCCCCCACCCTGACACAAACAGATGGGGTTTGTACGGGTACCATATTGGGGTCCTTAATGAGGGGATCCTACTATTTGGGGGTCTATTTTGGGGTCCCCTTATTTTCAGGACCCCCAGATTAAAGTAAATAGAGCAACACCCAAACCCTAAACCCTAAACCCTAAACCCGAAACCCCTTAGCTGCCTGCGGCTCCCATGAGCGGAAGAAGCGCGGAGAGGCCTCTGCTTTGTGGCCGCAGCCCAGGCTTTAGGGTTTAGGGTTTTGGGTGTAGGGTGGAGGGTTTAGGGTTTAGGGTGTAGGGTTTAGGGTTTTGGCTTTAGGCTTTAGGCTTTAGGGTTTAGGGTGTAGGGTGTAGGGTGTGGGGTGTAGGGTTTAGGGTTTCGGGTTCAGGCTTCGGGGTCACAGGGCTGTTGGAGTCATAAGACTTGCGAATACGAAAATAAGGGATCCAAAATGTAGACCCCAAATGGTAGGGTTCTTGTTGTCCAATAAGGACCCCAAATAATAGGATTCTTGTTGTCCGGAGACCCCCATATGGGGTTTTGAGATGAGTTTGGGGTCCTCGCGCTTTTTCTAGGGTCCATGTACCTCAGTGTCATATATACTTGGGCCCCGAAGTCTCTACATAGGAAGTACCTTAAGTCCCAAGTATTCTCCATTAAGGTACATGGACCCTTAGGGTTCTAGGATCTCTCGGCTTGACGGAATTGATGTTTAGGGTATAAGCGTTAAGGGCTTAGGGTTTAGGGTTTAGTGTTTAAGGTTTGGGTTTAAGGTTTAGGGTTCAGGGTTGAGTGCTCAGGGTGTTGAGTTGAGGTCTCACGGCCTAGCGTGAATTGGAGGGTTCATGGAAGCCAGGCACCCGAAACTCTCAAACGAAGGGAGGAGGGAGGAGGGGGGGGGGGGGGGGAGTTGGAAATTGCTTTCGCAAGGGTTCAGGGTTCAGGGTTCAGGATTCAGGGCTACGGAAAGGCAAAAGGCCTCTCGGGAATCGGGTGAACAGCTACCCCGCAATGAGGCGAACAGAAGCCGACCGCTTAGGTGAAAAGATTAACTGAGTGCAGATGCTTGTTTTGCTCCTGCCATAATCATAAAAAAAGAAAAAAACGTCCGGCATGCTTCGGCATGCTTCAGCAGCTATGAACAAGCATCGTGCGCGGCTCAGAGTCTTGAATGGCCGAACAATGAGACCGAGATCCTGCCCGACAGGACAAGCGCACCACTGACTCTGATGTCTCCGTCGGGTTGTGGCTGGGTGCTCAGGTTTGGAAAATCGAGCTTGCCTGTAAACGCAACCACACCGACAGGGATTGCCGGGAGGATCGGGTGGTTCTTGACCATGACTTGCATCGTAAGACGTACCTCGACTCCAACGCACTGCACCGCCAATGTGACAAAGTCGAGGGGTGCCATGTGCTTGGATGTTGGAAGGACGGTCTCGACGCTCGCCTCCGCTCTTACTTCGTGAAACAGTCCGTCCCTGAGCGAGATTCCAAACCCTCCGCTAGAAGCAAGTTTCACGGAAACCTTCTTGGAGACACGCCAGTTCTGCTCAGCATTGTACGCTTCTACTAAAAGCTCAAACTCACCGGAAGGATCCACGGTTGCAGACATACTACCTGCGGAGAACCCCATGGTGGGTTTGAACAATGAGGCATCCACTGTCAGCTTCACGTGCTGATTGCCCATGGCTTTGAGGCGCAAGGCAGTTCTTCAATACAGGATTCTGAAATGCACTACCACTGGCTCAAATCAACAGCATCAAGAAAGCTTGGAATTTGGATGCATTTCGGAGAGCTAAGAGCGCTCATGGAATTGCATTGTACCCTGAGCCAGACTATTGCGATAGCAAGACTATTCCATTCCACCACTTCCATTTTCTTAAACTAGCGGGTTGCAGGTACGAATACAAAATGGAAATGGCATCTGCTAACTTACTTTATAAGTGTTTTAAGATTTAACTGGGACCCTATTTACCTACAGTTTAGTAGCAAGTACCCCCGACTAGTAGAAACGGTCCTAGGGTTTACGGCTCAGGGTGTTGAGCAGAGGTGTCGCGGACTAGCGCTACTTGGAGGTTCATGGAAACCAGGCACCCCAAACCCTCAAAATAGGGGGGGGGGGGTCTTAGAGATTGCTTTCGACAGGCGTTTCGCAACTGTTCAGGGTTTAGGGTACGGGGGGACAACCAAGGAAGGAAATCAACTCCCCTAATCGCCCTGAACTTATATTTCCCAGATCGAACCAAGAAACAAACAAGAACACGGATAAGAGCAACCCAGGGGGGAAGGAAAGGGGGAAGGAATCCACACCCTTACCAAACCCTAAGAACCCAGGCACTACTTTTTGAACTTGTGGCTTTCTGTTCAAGCCCATCTTGAGCCAAACATAATTTCCGGGTTCATTAACCCTTCCAACTCTCAACACTAACTCTTTTCTACAATACCAATTGCAGCTCCGCACTCCCCCTGTCCTAGGATTTCCTAGGACACATTGGAGATGCAGATCTTTTGGCCAAAAACTGCCATTAAGGCAGCAGCCAGCTGCTTGAAATGCATGTTGTGGTTTAACGTCTTCCAGGACGGAATTATAGCACATTGGCTAACCTACTACCCATAGAGAATCTCTTTTCACCATGATCCTCTCATCACTGAAGACTCCTTGGCCTTCTTCACCACAAACCGTGGTCTTCGCTACGCGAAAAGCTACTGACTTCTACTATCAGGGATTTCCATACCCTTAATAGTAACCACCACATTGTCAGCACATTGGCTGTTCCAGCGCACCTGTCTCCAGAAAGAGAAAAACCATCCCTTCATCCATACCATCCAATCACTTCTTTTTCCGATTGTTGGCAATCTTGAGGTGAAGTTGCAGCAGAATATACTCCAGGTCCGAAACTGTAAGAACAGGATCCTGTACGCCCCTTTGAATTGAGGATACCAATCCTTCTCTCTTTGCGTCCTCAATCGCCTGGCAAGATTGACCCAGCTCTGCATTCGCAGTGGCAGACCCTGGTGCATCCGCATCAGATGGACGATCCTTTTCCTCAGGATCTTGCACCATTACCACCTCTTCTTTTTTGGGACTCTGACTTTTCTCCCTCTTCTTTGTCTTTCCACCGACATTTGACTTTGTGCGCGTCTTCGAGGATTTTTCCACTGCAGAAGCCACCACATTGGATGTTGATCCACCCTTCTCAATGATCGTCGGCATCTTCTTCGGCTTTGGAACCATGAGAGTGTAAGGATCTTCGATAGCTGCAGCTTTCCTCTTCTTTTTTACCTTTTTCTTCTCTTCTTCAACGGCAACCTCCGTCTCCGAAGTCTCAACCACTCCTTTTTCGGCAGGAATATCCTTGCTGGACTCCCTTTCTAGGGACCTCTTTTTACCTCTTTTGGAATCCTTTTCCTCTCCCAAATTGGCTCGCTCATACCATATCCTCAGGTCATTGACCCATTCTTCCACCTCCGCGAGCGAAACCTCATACGACTTCACTACTTCGAGAAGTTCCAGCACGGTCAACATTTCAGTGGTCCACGAAACCCATTCTTGATCCATTTGGTCAGCATCTCCAGTCTGCTCGAGCCAAATCTGGCTTGCCACCGGACAGAAATGAAATCGCCTCCATCAACAGTTCCGTCATCTTGGTCTCTTCGTCATAAACCATAAAATCCTCCTCATCATCATCGAACTGTTCAGGAGAGATCTCCTTTTCTCCACCATTTGCACCAGACTTTCTCCTTGGACCATCCCTTGGGGGCGTCCTTGGAGACCTTGGCCTCTGTTCTTCCAGCGGAACACCATGCTCGAAGACACACCTGTCACCAAACCGACACTTCCCAGACCGAGCAAACTGGACGCACCTCACACCAGTTGCATCATGCGAGAACCCACAATCCTTTCCAGCGAAACATTCTCTCCCTGCCACATAGTATTTACACCAATACGAATGTAGCACCACATCATCTTCGGAATGGATGAATTTGCAGTCGTCACCGAATTTGCAGCGATCTTTCCCCTTGCCGAACCAATAGCAGAAACCCTTCTTCCTCTTCTCCAAGCGCTCTGCCTCATACCGGTCCATAGGGCGATTGTGCTCTACATGAACATTGCCATGTACCTGGGGACTGCTCCCTTCACCCGACGTGCTATCAGTATTTGGTGCTTGGAGTACAGCTGGAAAACCTGGCCTTGGTCCTACCACCTTCATGATCGGTTTTCCGCCAACTCCTGAGCCATGCTGAGACGATCCAAAAACATTGAACATCTTCGTGAAGGCCTTTCTAGTGCCAATCTTCTGCACCCTTTTGATTGGACGTTTCATTGCTCCAACCTTGCATCCAGATGCGTTCAAACGACACAACCTCCTATAACCAACTCTATGTCCCTTCTTCCAAAGAGCCATAAGAATTTTAGAGGCAGTAACATTCTCCACCTCTACCTTTTCCAATGGTCCCTCACTTCCCGGAACAAACCCATCCATATCTGAAGACCTTTTCATCTTTTTTGACACCACTTCGTCGAGGTAGTCTTCCGAGATCCAGGGTAAGTTCCCCTTAGAGGAAGGATTGTCATCATTGTTTGGTCCTTCACCAGGATACCCTTTTGTGCTGTCAAAGATCTTACCAGTAGTGCGGTCCTGCATAGAGAAATTCGAAGCCACGCGGGAGTACACTGACCACAAGAAAATCCTTGTGTCCGCCAGTCTTGATGACCCACTGGATGTCTCCTCTTCCGGAGAAACTTCTGGCGCTTTGCCATCCCCTCCAGTGTCACCACTTGTCTCACCTCCAGCATCTTCAATGGGAATAAGGGATTCATTGTTCCCTTGATCAAGCACCGCATCCTCTGGTCCAAGAACTTCCAGCACCGCTGTCGAAGGATCCACCTCTTCATCAGCATCGTCGTCCATCCTTCTCCAGAGAGCCTCCAATTGGTCCGCACAAGTCGCCGCTTGAAGGAACTCCATCAACCGAGCCCTCCCGCGCTGCCAGAGAAATTCCGAAACCATCACCGACCCTTGGGCTCCAAGATTCAGGAACGGGTGAACCATTTTGGCTACCCTCGCCATAAGTTCAATGTGAACTTCCATGCCTGGACTGCGGCTCCAATCATAGGCAATTGCCTCCATAGCAGTTCCAAACTTGTCAGTATTCTTGAGTTCCCCTTCCAGACCAGGAGACAACAAGGCACCCATCACCGAAAGAGGGTAATTTCCCACCGCCGGCAAGCACGGGTTGTCATGGAACGAATGATGCAGGTCACTATAATGTCCTTGATCTCTCCTTTGAAAAAGGAGTGCTCCAGTCCCTAGCTGGGCATTCATTTCATCCACTTGAACCATTTCAGCACATATCCTCTGTGCCATGTACGCCATTGCTGGCCAGACGGAACGATCGGTAAGACCGCGACGCATAACCCAATCAGTTGTTGGCGACTGAATCAGCGTCCTTGGATCATACACCAGAACTACCATCGCACCGTCACCCATTGACTGATCAGCATCGTCCTCCAGTGCCAGGTTCTCATCCTGTTCGCTTGCACCCTCGGATGACATGCTAATAACCAAATTTCGATCCATCTTATTGGACCCTTTTTGGCAGTCTCTTTGCCCCACCGGCAACTTGCCAACTGCAACCTTCCAATAAATCCGAGTCAGAAGGCCTTTAACCAGCAATTGCTGAAGGTCATTCCTCACCGGACCACCATCCAATATCTTCGCATCATCACCACGGAGTTCATTGCTCCCACCTTCTCCTTCTTTTTGGTCAGTCTCCTCGCCAGAAATCTGTACTGCTCCTTCCGGCGCCGTCTCCTGTCCAGCCACTTCTTGCCCAGGAAGAACTTGAGCGCTTTCAGAGACATTCACCTGTCCAGCAACACCTTGCCCAGGTAAAACCTCATCCGTGGAGCCCACCGCCAGCGAACCAACCATAACTGAACCATCCCTTGCTCTTTTTTGAGACCGTTCAGCTCGACGAGAAGGTTGTGGTAGCGAAAAAACTTGTGAAGTCACTTCTTGGCGGGTCTCCCCCCGCGACGCTTTGTCGCGCCCTTCGCCAAGGTGAACCGATTTTTTCGGCCCGTCATTGGAGCCTGAAGAACCACTTTGCGGAACATTGCCACGATTCGCAGTTCTCTGTGAATCCCTTTCTTGCAAAAAGATTTCCTTCAGGCGTTGTACGGCATTGGTCTCCTCTTCGCTTGAATCGCTTGAGGAAGCGGCATACGAGACCAAAGCCTCCGCCTGTTCATCATCATCCACCACATCTGCCCACGCTCTGCTGAACCGATACGACAACCCACCACGAGGCTTCAGTTCCAGTGGCTTCGGCTTTTCCACCACTTCCGCCGGTTGCACTCGTCGTTGTGACCGAGAGCGTGGCACCTGTCGCACCTGTTTTTTGTCCAGCAAGGGCCTTCCCCTTCTCACAGGGTTTGATCTTGACCGATACTTTTTTGTTGGTGGATTCACCGGCGGCATTCCAACTCCCACCAACCGCAGCTTCTGTACGCACAACGGAGTCCTCTGCGCAAGCGTCCAACCATCACGGTACCTGACCTTATCAAAAAGCTCCCGATAGGAGCCTCTCGGCATGGTTTTTGCACCGGAGTCTTCAGCTTCACGCACCTGAGTGAGGGTTCGCACCGTCGCTCTTCCAGTTCCTTTGTTCCCAGAAGATTGTTGTACCCGTACAGATGCATCAGAAGGAACTGCCTTTTCCGGTCCTCCCGGGCGATATCGGACATCACCAACCAATTGCAGAATTTTGCATGCGGTCACTTTGTTGATCCCTTTGTCAACCAAATCTTCCACAAAGATGAACTCTTGCAAGTCCGACACATTGGTCACACCAAGCGTAATCATCACCTCACTTACATGAGGGGTATACACCCACAGGTGTGCGTTGCGAGCCATCCAATTTTCAATTGGCTCCTCCGGATTTTGAAGCTGAGTACCAGTGGATGCAGCCACCGAATTCTTTTGTTCATCAGCTTCTGCTTCATCCAGAATACCTTTTTCACCATCTTTTTGTGACACATTGGTCATTTGCAGCGCTTTTGGTGCCGAGGATGAGGAAGATTCAGCTCCCCCACTCGCAGGTGGCTGAAAAGTACTTCTATCCGTAATCTCCCATCCTCTCTCTTTTTCAAACCGGACCTGATTGGCCACCTGTACCAAGTGTTTCAGGAGCGTCAGCCGCTCCTCTGACATCTCGTCATGGGAGTACTTGCCGAAATTTGACCCTTTCCGGCAACGTCCTCTGAGGTAATAATCGAAACAGCAATGGTGGAACCCTGCGTCCCTTAGTGACTTCCTGGAAGCATTGTCCCAAGCTTTGCCGGGCTCCCAAGTCCCTTCCAATGCTATGTCATCGTTGTGAAGATACCTGCATGCAGTCCCATATTTACAACCACCTTGATTGTAATACAGACACAGACGACCTTTTGGCTCACCCGACGTAGGTTCACCCTTTGATGCACCTTTGCCAAAATTGTACTTGGCCCGGAAGGCCAAATCCTCCCGCTCCTGCTGTGCCTCATCCACTGTACCTTCCTCTGTGGGAGGGTCACCGATGTTCCCATCCTCATCATCAGCTTCTTGGCTATTCTTTGGATCAGTTGACCCTCCTCCTGGCCAACCTTCACCATAACGACGATGCTCATAGGGACAACCATCACCGTTGCGACACCTTCCCTTATTGAAGAACTTGCACAGTTTGCTGTATCCAGGTGACACAGTCTGTGGAGTCATGTGAGCCTTTTTGTACTGGTCAGGGTCCATGTAGGCTTCCATTGGCTTGTTCTCCCTTTTGCTCATGGATTGCACTGCACCATCAAGCTCCTGCAAAAATAGCTTGGTGTCCAACCAAAGCGCGTTCCAAAACTCATCTTCCCCTTGATTCAGCACCGTTGCCACCGCTTCACCCACAACTGGTCGAGAAAATCTCCTTTTTCTGCATGCCAGTTCGAAAAGCGCGTTGTGGTACTGTTTTCGGGAAAAAGTGGTTAACTTCCCCAAGCCTGTGCTTTCTGTACCATCAGGCTTCCAACCATCATTTTGCAAGATGCCATACGCGCGCCGAGCTTCCGCATTGAGGAATGCCTGATCTGCAACACACTCCTGTAAATCTTCCATCGGGCGACCCAACAGCATCCCAGTAATTTTGCCAACATAGGCTTCCTCTTCGTTTCCATTCTCCAGAAGAGCTTTGTAGATCTTTTCTCCATGAAGTTGCCTTTCTTCTCGTTCTTCAGAGGATAACTCCTGTACCACAAGCTCTTCATCGGATTGCTCTTCCTCCTGTTTCCAGTCCCATTGACCGTTGGAATCTTGGTACCATTGACCAGCATACCATGAATTCGTCCACCACGTACTCCAGCCGCTGGGTTTCCATTTCCGCAGCGTTGAGGAAGAGTCCTCCACGTCCTCTTCCAAAACCAGAAAGGTGTCCAAGATTATGGTACCATCATCTTCCACTAGTTTCACTGTTCCATTGAAAGTATCACCAAATCTGAACTGACACGTATTGTTCCCTTCTGCAGGAATCAATACATTCAAATCACCAAGGTCCAAAAAGGCTCCATACCCATTGATGCAGCGCACTAGACCCATGATCTCATCTCCCTCTTGATAGCAATGTGTCCCAGGTGATTCCAAGGCTCCCGCTCGGGGCACTTTCTTTGCGAAAGCTAGAGGGATTGGGTCTACTCTTTAAGAGGCCAAGAGCAAACCTTAATCTGCACCAGCTTCTTTAGCACCAGCTGCCAAAGAGCTCAAGGGCCCTGAGAGCCACGGTCGAAGAAGCACGGAAGGATCGAGCGATGTGCAATCACAGCTTTCACATGGATCTAAAATCTTTGTCGCTCGAAATTCCGGGATCCTGCCTAAACAAGCTAACCAAAAGTTCTGGAGCGCGAGGGAGCTTGGAGTAGGGTTTCTCCATAACTCGGACATCATCATCCTTCTCAAGCACTCTCCATTCCATTCGATTACTATCAAGCAGGAATTTCCCGATGGTGGTTCGATATGGAAAATCCTTTGAGGATTTGCGTGGCTCAGGGCTTCTGTAGGATTTAGCTCCCCTAGCAACCTGTACACAAACTTGCTTAGGAGCCTCACCTACCAAGTGCCAGCCAGGCTTTGAGCCGAAGTTCTCTAAGAACTGTCTAAGCTCACGGTTCGCGTCAGTCAGTCCTTCTCCCGGGAGTTCCTCGTCTTCAGGAACTGGAGGTGGTGTGGAAGCCTTTCGGGACTTCACCTTCTGCCTTACAAACTCTGTGTTGTACTCGATTGACCACGAACCATTGCAGATCACCCGCTTTAAGTGACCGCAATCCATTGCCTTTGTACCGGCATCAACGAACATGTTGGCCGTGTCAGTCCAACGGATACACGTCCGCGGTCTCCGAAGAAGCTGTCGAAGAAGGGCTAGGGTCAGCACCAAGGACTTTTGGGCACCAAACCCAGTGTCTTTAGACACCCTGTCGTAGGTGTCTTTTGCATCAGTCACGACTGTAAGAGGCACCGTACATACGGCGAATTGCCCTCCTGGTTTCAAGATGTCGGTGCCACGTGCCTCGGCGACCAGACATCTCACCAGCTCTGCGGCATCCAAAGCCTCTTCAACGCCCAGCGTCTCTGCCCCGTAGGAGGAGCGACACACACGCTGGAGCTTATGCGACCGGAAATCTAACAAGTTAAAGGAATCTCTTTTTCCTTCAACTAGTTTTGGCCCTCCAATGAGCACAGCGTAACAACTTTGAGAGAAAGTTTTCGGGTCCTCTCCACTGCCGTCGGAGTTGACATTTCCCAGCGCGGCGTCTGACACAGCAACCAGCCCACCTTCTTGCCAGTTTGTGTTGCGGAACGTCAGGACAAAGTCGGAGTCACCCTTGAGGTCCCTTGCGAGGTTGCAAGCCTTGAGCAAGGTAGCCACCGTCGGCTTCGCCACCTGAACTTCGCAAAGGCGAAAAGCAACGTCGAATCTTAGCTGGGCGACTAGCCATTGTAGAGAGCCATTCAAAGCTCGAAGCTCGCGCAACTCCTTAGGGTTCAAAGCTCTTGACAAGTCCTTACGGGCTTCACGAGGCACAACTGGGATGTGGAGGTTACGATGGTATTCAACCATGTTCACCGTCACTTCGCCGTTGGCGTGCTTTTCCAGGTTCTTTCCGCAAAAGGTGAACTTGTCCTTTGAAATGGAGCCGAATCCCAGCTCGGCTCCAATCTCATGGAAGCTCTTGACCGCCTCGGAATTCCCAGTCACAAGGATGTCGTCCACGTGCGTCAGCATGACTCCTTCTAAGACGCCCTCTGGACTCCACTTGAAGAAGAGCCCACCGTCTATACTAGAAGGTGTCCATCCGCGAGCACGTAAGGTACGCAGAAGCCTTTCGTACCAAGCCCTTGGGGCGTCCGCCAGTCCGAACACCCCCTTTCGAACTTTAAACAGGATCCCAGGCCTTACGGGTAGCGTCGGGCCACGCTTCCTGTTAGGCTGATCCATAAACAGTAGCCTTGTGACATAAGGGTCGCCTTTCAAAAAGGCGGCCCGAACATCTCCACTCATCATGGGCCAATTCGGTTTCGAGGCACTAATGGTCAGCAAGAGATGCAGCGCCAATCTGCTGGCCGTTGGCGCATCTGTTCTAAGTTGACCTTCTAACAGTGCCCTGTCTCTGAATCCAGGCACAACAAGACGGGCGTTTGCCTTAACAGGTAAATCGCTGCCCGGTGTTCTCAACGGGGCGTTTTTGTCTGTCAGGACAAACCGAGGAGTGAGCAGGTTGTGCTTTGCTCCCGCCTTGATTTCCGCGCGGATTGTATTGGATTGTTCCATGGTCAGCGGTTCGAGGGCACAGTTCTCGACCCATTTCTCCCACTGTTCAAGAGCTGCCGCTTGATAGAGCTGCCTTTCCTCCTCACTCATTTTGGACCAGTTCAGCTCCTTTCCAACGTTTGCCAGGAAGACCTCAAACTCGGTGGCATCTAGGTTCATCAAGTGGCCTCGCCTTTCTAAAACTGCACGCACGTCCTCAGAGGGCGTAGGCCAATGTCCAGCCCACGAGCCATTAGGGGCTTCAAACCAGTTGCCATTCTTCATGTCTTCTGCCACGTCGCAAGCAAGTTGCTTTAGTGGATGCTGTGACTCTGTGGCGGCTGTTAAGACATTAATGGTCCGGTCTCCCAGCCGCAGAGGGACAAAGGAGCTTCCACTTGGGGCGCTCAGCTGCGCACCCAAAGCAGACGCTTGACTCTCCTGAGTCGGTGCGCCCTCTGGCGCAGCCTGAGTCTCAGGGACTTCTGGGACGGTGTCCAGTTTTGCATCCTCGGGGTCAGCGGTGCGCAGTCTTGTCGCATCCGGCTGTACTCATTCACTGGGCTCTGCTCCCTCAGAAGCCTCGGCACTAGACCTCTTGCGGCTCCATATTCCATGGCTTGTCGGGTCCCATCCACTAGAGAGAAGTGAAGATCGTCTCGAATCTTCCCCGGCTCTGTCACCATAGGATTGGGCCGGCACAGGAACCGGCATTACCATGACTGCTTCTCCAGGAGCCGGTCGCGGACGCTCTCGAAGCTCATCCTCCGCCTCCACCTCTTCGCTTGGAGACTCTTGGCCCTCGGACGCGTAAGGCGCGCCGGTTGCCTGAGAAATTTCACGTAGAGCATCTTCCCAATCCGTGGCCGAGAGTCGCTCCAAAGACGATGCGCGACGAATGTGTTCGGCACCCACCTTGGTAACTGATCCCTTGAAGGTTACGTAGTAGGAAACAGGGATTCCTTGGTTCTTTTCGCAAGTCAAAACCAAACTGGGGCCATGCCATCGTTCGGTGAGCACCTTCCCCTTTGCCACCTTCTGCTTTCGCCAGAAGTACGCGATCTCGCCCGGTTCCAACTCCTCATGCAGGGTTGGGAACCCGTCCTCTGGCTAAGAGGGCGCGTCGCAAGGAGCGGCTGTAATGCAGCCTCACCATTGCAACTCTCGCAGCCTCTCTCATGGCCACTTGCCTTTCGAAGCTGAAATCTCGGGATATGAGGCCATGTTGGGCCAATCGCCCGCGCAGTCCCAAGACATCGCCAAGTTTTCGAGGCGCACGTCCAAACAAACTCTGCGAAGGGCTGAAACCACTATCATTGATGTCGGAGTTGTACGCTTCGGTGGATGCTGTGACCACCAGTTCCATATCCGCGTACCCAACCGCAGAAAACTCTGTCACCAGATGCTTTGCCATAGTTTTGAACGTGCCTCCGGCCCTTTCCACGATTCCATTTCGCCATGGTGTTTCGACTGGAGTTGTGGAATGGTAAATATCCAGGAACTCGCACGCTTCACTAAAGGTCTGGGCAGTGAACTCTGGGCCTAAGTCTGTCACCAATGTCTTTGGGGCCCCATACGACTTGCAGAACTCGTTGAGGGCTCCGACCACGTCCGAGGCCGTCTTCTCTGTGATGTAGCAACTTTGATGCCTCGTCGCGATGTCGACAAAGTGTGTCACCCAGAATTTCTGACCGGCGCGATCCTTGATCGCTACCAAGTCCGCATGAACGCGGTCGAAGGGCTGGGACACTCGGGGTAGCGACGCTGGTGGACGAGTACGTGGTCGGGCGTTTTCCTTACACACCTCGCACTCCAGTTGCAGCGCCGCTTTTACTGCTTCTACCGGCGCCCCTGAAATCGTCAAGGCGCGGGCCAATCGCCGCCGTGAACAATGCCCTGTATTTTGGTGCATCTTCATCACCAGTCTTTTGAGTTCCTTGCTAGGCTCCGAGCCACCCAGCTCCTCTTCAAAGTCCCCATCTTCGTCCTCTTCATTCTCGACTTCGGGCTCACCAACCTCAGCGGCATGGGCCTCGCGCACAAAGGTCTCGTCCAGGACATCCTCAAGCATCGCCACCAAGCGCTGGAAGAGGAGGTCGCCCGTCAATTTCTCGAGCTGCTCCTTGTGCTCCACAAGCTTGCCGATGTTTGTGAGGATAAACCCATTCTTGGTGAGGAGCACCCCGCCGAGCTTATCGAACTTGCGTCTGAGGAGGTTGCGCCACAGAGTGGGCGATTCCTCGAAGACGAAGATGTAAGGTCGCCCTTTTCCAATGGCACTCCGCCAGTGGTTTAACACCGAACGACCATGGACATTTTGGAATTTTCGTGTCAATTTGTTCAAAGATGGAGCTTTGGCCAGCAGCATCCCTTTTCCACCAGGCTGGGCGAAAGGTTTTGTCAAGTGTCCACGAAGTGTGGCCTCTTTCTCAACCTCCGGGGCACCGTGGTTCACTGAGGCCCTTATCGTACTCATTCTCAACAACCGTTTCGAGGGCCTCGTAGACCAGCGGGGGCGCTGCCACCTTTAGCATCTTCAACGCCTTTCCAGCCGCTTGACCGATCATCTGGCGGACGCCAGCTTTCACGGCTCCATAGAGGATTCCCATTCTTCCAGATCCAGGCGAAACTCTTGCGGCAAGTCGCCCAGGGCCGCTTGGGGGGATTGCCTTGTCCTTGGACGCGACGGAAAGAGCATCGAAGGAGGGGGAGCGCCCAACGGCGCGTCCACTACCTCTTGCGAGGGCGCCGCCGTCGGGCTGCCACTCGCACTCGCAGGCGCAGACTTCCCAGCCATCATCAGGGCTGTTGGTCTGACCTTCTTTGCGATCTCTGCCACCGAATCTTCGGCCTTGATCTCCACGTGAAGAAGCGCCGCCAACTGAATCAACTCTCCACGCAGTCGAGGTAATCCGCCTCGTGGACCCAGCAATTGGCGAACCCTTTCGCCCCTGTCCTCGCTCACCGAGGCCTTGGCTGCTTCCGCCATTTGAGCCTCGGCCAGTCGGGCTCGGACTCCGGGCTTGCGCTTCAGAGCTCGCATCCCCACTGTCAGGACTTCGTCCTCCAGGAATGCCAGCTCGAACCCAACCTTGTTCCGAAGATCGACCAGGGCCTTCAAGTTGGACGCCGTAAAGCTTTTGCTCATCTTGCATTTGGTGAGGTAGCGGCGCGGGTATGCTCCACGAGCCACCATCTCCGCAGCCTGCTCCTCCCACTTGCTCACGGAGTCCACGGATGGCACAGGAAATGGAAGGAAACGCAGGTATGGTGCTCTGATGAGCGAGAGCAATAAGCCCCAAAAGTGCCATGAAACGCGTCTTTGGAGGCGCACCACAAGGCGCTGCCATCGTCCGATTGCGAGGTTGGCTCTTTGCACGAACTCTGGAGCCAACATCTTGAGAAAGGTGACCTTGAGCCAAGACGTCTGCGAGACCTCTACTCGACTGCTTATATGCGGATGACGAAGTTCTGCGGTAACTACAGGTAGTCGATGGAGTTCTGGGGTCCCTAACTGAAGCCTCTGTTGGGGAGCATATGTGAGGATCATCTGGTCGTAGAAGGGGAAGTTCACCACAGGCTTCACTCACACACACTTCTCTTGTCCCACTTGTCGGCTTCTTGGCTCTGGCACCCAGCTTTCTGTTCAGCCAGGCTTTTCGGCTAAGGAAAACTTCAACCACCCCTTGCTTCCCCAAACTACGGAAAAGTCGTGCGGTCAACTCACGAGGGGCAGGCTTCCAGACACAAGCAGCCGGGTTCACCTCCACGGCGAAGTGTCCTGCTCGGATTGTCTGGAGTGGGTGGTTGACGAGGCCAAGGGTCTCCAAGGTGATGGTTTGTCTGGGGAAATCAAGTATACCACCCATGGCATCCAAGAAATCCTTGCCGAGCAAACCCGCTAAGCGGTTATTCGGCAAGACGCTAAACCATACCAACACAACCTGGCCCTCAAAGTTCATGGGAACCCGCACCCGACGACTGGATGTCAAGCAACCTCCGTCCCCGAAGCGGAAGCGTTCGCTTTCAGGGGACTCCTTCCAGAGGCCTTTAAACTCACGGGGGAGCGCCTTACGGATCGCCTCCACCCATGATTCTCCAGCACAGGTGCGGTTGCAGCATGAGTCCACTGCGGCAAAGTAAGGCTTTTGCCAGCTTGTCTCGACCTTCTTCACGTCCAGGACGTCAGCGAGGTCCACCGCCAAGATCTCATGGAAGCCGTCCGTATCAAGCTGGCCACCCTGCAGAAAGTCAATCACCTGGGCCTCGTTCATGTCGCCAGCTTCAGCAAAGTTCACGTTCTTGTGACCAACCTTCTTCTTGGGCTTTGCCTTCGACTTGCATTCCGGATCTCCAGCCCAGTGGCCTTTCAGCCCACAGGCGTTGCACTTCGTGTCTCGCTTTCGGGCAGCGACCGAAGTAGAACTGGACGACCTCACACCACCATCCACAGGCTTGCCATAGCCTCGGTCCTTCTTTACAGCGGCGATCTTGCCGCGGGCTTCTTTCAGGGTCATGAGAGCCTCTGCCATGTCAGAGAGCGCTGCCTCTGCCTCATTCAAACCCTGGTCATCCAACTCGCCTTCCATCTCATCCAGGGAGGTTGCCAAGGCCTCCAGCTCCTTCTCCTGCGCCTCGTCCAGATCGAGGGTGGACTCCTCAACCTGGCCTTCGTAAACTTGAGTTTCCTCCAGCTGCGCCTCATCCTCTTCTGGCTCCGGCGCGGAAAGTTCCGCAACCTGGGCCTCGGAGCGTGGCGGGGTCGCGCGAGAGCGCAGACTCCCGTGGAAGGGCTTCCTACGTGTAGACGGCGTTGTCGAAGTGGATCCCGAGGAGAAACTCGAAGTTCGAAGGCTTCTGACGGGCGCGTCGTCCATACCCTTCAAGTGGATACGCCTGAACAGGCGCAACGCTTCCTTCTCCACAGCATTGTAAGAAGGTTCTTCACCTACAGTTGTCTCCAACAGCTGACGTTGGATCTCACTCAATCCCAGTCTCTGCTGGAATATCCAGGCATACTCAGTGTCCTGGACAACAATGCCTTCGGTTCGCAGTTCGCCTTGAAGGGTGCGATAACTTGCAGCGAACTGGGTGACGCTCTCTCCAGGTTTTCTCTTCAACCCGCCGTAAAGCTTGCTTCTCAACTCGTGCTTTTTCTCTGAACGGGTTTTTCCTGAGAGTTCTTCGAAAGCATCGAGGAGTTTGCGCACGCCTTTCTTGTAGTCAGGCTCGCGCACCCAGTGTTGTTCGCCATCGACCCCTTCACGGGATTCGCCAGGGTCATAGGCAAGATCTTCGATGGCGAACTCTTCGCCTCTTGCCCGCGCTGGGCCGTGTTGTCTGAGGAGGAACCGCGCTGCTAACGAGTAGCCGGTGGTGCGTTCTAGGTCTAACCCAGCTAACCACAACTCAGTGTTGCGCCGAAACTTTCTTAACGTGGAGGGGTCGTTGTCCCAAACGGGGATTAGATGGTCAAACCCATCCCCCCTCGACTCCCGGTCCTGCAGCGCCATTGCTCAAGCGGCAGGGCAAAGGGGTCGCGTCCACCAAGGCCGACGTAGTTCACGAAAAAACGTCCTTGTACACCTAAGTCCTTGAAGTTCGAGCTCGTACACGAAAAAGGCAAAACGTAGTTGTGGGTGTTGCGAGAGTGTAGTAGAAATTGAGGGGTAAGTTGAGGTAGTGTTTGTTGTAGGCTTCAGCAAGCCACAAAAACAGACAGGCAGTCGGGCTCTCAGTGCCCGTACACAGGAACCCTCCCCACGAACCTTCGCTTCAGCGTTCTAGGGGGGTATTCCTCAGAAGAGGATGAAGGATCCCTCGCGCCTGGGAGCGGAAACGCTTCCGCAGGGGACGGTCCTTCTTCTTCCTTTTCCTCTTCGTCGTCAGCCTCCTCTTCAGAAGACCTCAGCAGCTCCTTTTTCACCCTCTTCTTCCTCCTTGCCTGCTTCTCCCTCCGCTCCTTCAACGCCCGCTTCTGCCTTTTGAGAGACCGAGCTGCAAAGTCGCGGATCACAGGAGCTAACCTCTGGCTCCTCTCGTCACACGTGTTGCAGGCCTCCCCCAGTCGGCGCAGGAGAGTCTGCCCTGCGCTCCCCGGTGGAAGAATAGGGTTGATCTCGCGCTTGATGCGTTCCCGACACTGGCGGTAACTGAGTGTGTCCCAGTCACGCTCAAGCTCCCTCAAGGGTGCGTTGACTCGCAACCTCTTGATGCGGAACCTGGCCTTTGGTGCTACAGCGCAAGTTGCAGCACGTTTGGAAGCCGCCGTTGCCAAAGCTTGGTACCTCTCCTCGCCTCTCTCCCTGGCTGCTGCGCTCCGACCTCCTCGACGCTTAGTCTTGTTGGGCCTTCGCTTTGGACGCGGAAGCACTTTAGCGGTCAGTCCTTCTGCCTCGCGCTGCGGCTGCTGTTGCTTCTGTCGCTTTGCTTTTGTCCTGCTGTCTTTGCCTTTTCCTTGTTGCTTGGCCTTGCTCTTGTTCTTGCCTTTGCCAATGTGCTTGCCTTTGTGCTTGCCCTTGCCTGTTTGCTCGCTCTTTTCCTGGTACCACCACGGCTTGTGCTTTTTCGTCGTGGTGGTTTTCCGGGTGCCCGATTGGGCGACCTCGGAGCCTGGGTGCCCAGAAGGCTACCTCAGAGCAGGAATTCCGGGCGCAGGACAATGCAGCCGCGGAATCAGAAGTGGAGGTGTTGAAGTGCGGTGAAGTGGAGTGGTTGTTGGAGACGGGCGGTTGGAAGCTCACGAAGACGACGTTCACCAAGAAGGGTTTGGAAGTTCACGAAGACGAGGTTGACAAAGAAGGAACTCCCCACAGCAGGGACCACAGCAGACCGTTCACGCGGCGGCGAATCGGGTAGTCGAGCAGGCGGTCAACCGAGTAGGTGAGGTAGTCCTTGTGCCTCAACTCAACTCCGACGACGAGGGAGGAGGAGACCAAGTGGATATGGAAGGAAGGCTCACGGAGTGCGCGCAACTACGGGGCTACGACTACAGCGAGCCGGTACCCGAAGCTGGAGCCCTAGGAACCAACGGGGCCCCGCTACCACTGCGAAAGCTAGAGGGATTGGGTCTACTCTTTAAGAGGCCAAGAGCAAACCTGAATCTGCACCAGCTTCTTTAGCACCAGCTGCCAAAGAGCTCAAGGGCCCTGAGAGCCACGGTCGAAGAATCACGGAAGGATCGAGCGATGTGCAATCACAGCTTTCACATTCTTTGCATGCTCTTCAGAAACCCCCTCTGTATCATCGGCTCCTGGCGCATCCTTTGTTTTCACCTTTGGGTCACACTGCTCGTCCTGCTCCACGAGTCCCACAAGCTCATCTTTTTTGTGCTCCTGGACTTCAGGACCTCCCTTTTTCTTCGCCAAAGGCTTTGCCTCATCTGCTGTAATTCGCTCGGTGTCGACTTCCGGCGAACTTCCAGACGGCAACACTTCTCCCTTCATGGGAGTGGACCCATCATTGGAGTCCTTTGTCACACCTTCTGCAGCAGGCAAATCTTCTTCCACTGCAGGGCAATTGAGTCGATCATCCACGGCAGGCACGCTTTCTTCCACCGCAGGCTCCCTTGGTTCCATGGCTTCCAAAGGAGAATTTCCACCATCGTTGACCACAGCTGCCTCATTGGCTCCGGTGTAGCCCTTGTCATTTCGTTCCTCGCGGCTAACTTCAGGTTGCACCAGTGCGTCCACCTGTGAACCTCCATCATCAGCTGCTGCGGAGACCTGCGCCCCATTGTTGCAGTCGCCCGTGGAACGTAACACCATATGCACCTCAACCCGTGCTTCCTTCGCACTCCAGGTAATATCTGGCGCATCGACCCGCGCATCATTGGCGCTCCAGGCCTCATTTTTCAGATCTTCCGTGTCTCCAGCTATTCCAGAAGCTTCTTTTTCCCCTTGAATGGCAGGAATCTTGGCACCAAACGAAGAGACCTCCTCAGTCGCAACACACGACCTTTTCCCTCCGTCTTCCAATTCTCCAGGACCACATTCCTGAACGACAGGTACCACATCCACCACTCGCTCTTGTGCAGCCGACACAGTTCCGATCTCCACCTTGGGAATCTTTTCTTCTGGACCTACCGATTCCACCGCTGCCACACCCTCAGAAAGTGCTCCCATTCCTTCCCGATCCAGATGTTGAGCTCCAGCGATGTCTGCTCGGTTTCCAGGAATCTCCCCCTCATCAGGAGAACCCGAGGTCGGGGCGTCACCACCAGCCCTAGGACCGCTATCCCTGATAGTAGAGGAAAAATCTTTTTCACCTAAACTATTTACACTACCCTGGAATGCCCTCGTAGACTCAGTCTTCGGAGAAGAGGATGAAGAATCCAGTGCCGCCTCCATTTCCAGCTCATTGCCCGAAGGAGACCCAACCACCTCGTCACTCTCATCTTTTCACCTACCACCGGCAATGTCCACTTGCTTTCCTGCGTATCCAGGCAGTAATAATATTGTCTCCCATCTTCATGGAGGTGCCATTCCCACGTTGTCCCATCGCACGCTTTGATCAGATGCTCATCTTTCCGAAAACCATCCCTTTCAGAGACCTGACGCATCTCGTCCTCTTCTTCGGACAACTGTCGCAACCTCTCAGCCTCCATCTGTAGGATCTCCTCCTCCCCCATGGCGTATTCAGCAGCAGGTGCAGCTTCAAAGCTGTCCGCACCCTTCTGTTCGTGACCGCTTCCACCACCTTGGGAACTCGAAGATGGATCCCTTTTGATCTTGTTCAGAGGCCTCCTGGCCGCTTGCAGCACTTCTCCAATCAGATCGGTCTGAGACTCTTGGTCTACCATTCGACCCGAAGTCGAAGACGACGGCTGATACCCGTGTTTGCGCAACACTCGTAAAACAGTCACCTCCATTTCACGATCTATACCACCAGTCGCGTCCCAGTTCCTTTTCTCACCAGGCTTTGGCGATACAGAGACAGCACGTCCTTCAGCTTCAGTATTGCTAACCATATCCACATTGGGATTCATACCCACATTGGGGCTTTCTGCAACCAAGGCTTCTTCCAGATGTTCTTCAGCGCCGGGAATCACCTCTTCCAACACCGATCTTTCACCCAGAGACTCAGCTGCACCATTTCCAGCTCCACCATTTTGTCCACCATCCGAGGCAGGTTGGAGCCATCGCTTCGGAGAAGGCATTGCTTCTTGATCCCAAAGATCTTAAGACAACACTCAACCGCAGGGAACCTAATTTGGGCTCATAACCTACGGGGGGACAACCAAGGAAGGAAATCAACTCCCCTAATCGCCCTGAACTTATATTTCCCAGATCGAACCAAGAAACAAACAAGAACACGGATAAGAGCAACCCAGGGGGGAAGGAAAGGGGGAAGGAATCCACACCCTTACCAAACCCTAAGAACCCAGGCACTACTTTTTTGAACTTGTGGCTTTCTGTTCAAGCCCATCTTGAGCCAAACATAATTTCCGGGTTTATTAACCCTTCCAACTCTCAACACTAACTCTTTTCTACAATACCAATTGCAGCTCCGCATAGGGTTTAGGGTTTAGGGTTTAGGGTTTCGGGTTTAGGGTTTAGGGTTTAGGGTTTAGGGCTTCGGAACGGCAAAAGGCCTCTCGGGAATCGGGATTCGCAGCTCTTTGCTTCCGGTTCAGAGGGCGCAGTGTCCTAAACCCTAAACCCCAAACCCTAAACCCTAAACCCTGAATCCTTGAATTCCTCAAGCCTTCGAACCTTAAATCCCCAAACCCTCGCAGATTCCGCAAAGCCCCCCAAAACTCTAAAACCTAGATTCGACCCAAAGCCCAGGCAACCCCAAACCAAACCCCTAAGCTTTCAAACCCCAGGGTTTAGGGTTTAGGGTGCAGGATTAGCCTTTAGGCTTTAGGGTGCAAGGTTCATGGGAGGGTTTGTTTAGGTCGCGCCATCCCAGGGTCTCTCTGCTTTCCCACAGGGTTGCCTGCTTGGCCCGACGCTGCTCAGGTGTGCCTCGGGCGTCTACTTAGGGAAATTTAGGGTTTAGAGTTGAGAGTCTTCAGTCTTCAGGTGCGAGCACAAGGAAGTTTCCTGGGTGGGCGGGGGGGGGGGTTAGGGGTTTAGGGGTTTTAGGGGTTTAGGGGGTTTAGGGGTTTTAGGGGTTTTTAGAGGTTTTAAGGGGCTTTAGGGGTTTTAGGGGTTTTTGCTTTAGGCTTCAGAGTTTAAGCCTAAACCCGGTCCCTTCAGGAGCCCACACACAACCCGAAGCCCGAAATCCTAGAGTCCATAGCAAGATGTGTTGCTGGCAGCTTTGTTCGGCAGCGCCCTCAAAAGCGAGGGGCGTTGCCCCTCCCTAGCCCTGCTTTTCGAGATTAAACATGAAGCTTAACCCGAAACCATGGGATGTTCCCCCTTCTACAAACAGTCCTTAGTTGGGATTTATAATAGGGGGTAGGTACTACAATCCCTATTAAGGACTGTTAGTATAAGGGGGAACATCCCAACCTAAACCCCACACCCTAAAACCCAGACCCTCTTAGGGTTGACGGAACCCACTG